GGAATATTTCCAGCTGCTAAATATAAGCGTTTCCATCTTCCAAACTAGTTTCCTTCACAATTACAAAAATGTATCCAAGGATGTGATTGGAATTCAGATCAGTCAGGGGTGCCAACAAAAGTAATATTGTAACTAATTATGTCTTGTGGTGGTGGTTACTGTAATAATATTGCTGAAATGTATTAGTAATTAGTTACACTACTAGTTACTGGGGAAAGTAATATTATTACAGTAATCTGATTACTGCAGCTCAACCTTAATGGAGTTTGCTGTGTTGAGAGAGGATGAGAGAAAACACATTTACATTCATACATCATTTTTATAAAACAATTCTATACAGCCATGTGTGTTCTGTTGATGACTCCCCTCCATTACCTGAAACACAAATATGCCCACATTATTAAAGTAAACATTAAAGTGTGGAGACTGTGCACACAAATGTATAGTAGCTTCTCCTTTATATGTAAACGTACCCTGTGCATATGAGCGTCCACTGCAGTCATCAGCATTCATTCTCTCACCGGATGCCTACACAGTATGATTACTTTTTTAAAGATATTGTCAGTATTAGTTTTTCCCACTTAGTCACATGGCCTTGAATCTGACCGTATGTATGAGCCGTTGCTTGAGACAGTTCATGTTATAAAACCAGATTTCTATATCAGGCCATTTTGGGGTGACTTCCGAATTAAAATCGATGGATGGTCTTACCAAGCGCCGCGGTGAAGTCCACAAGCCTCTCCCTTACCTGGCGACCGATCGGGGTTTTCCTTTTTAAATATGTCCTGATAGCTGTTGGTTTTCCCAGGCGCCGACAGCATCTCCGGGATTTTTAGTTGTTGTTGTTTTTGCCTGGGAATCCCAAACAACTTCCGGGCCCATGCTGGGATACAGACCGAATAATTGTACAACAGAGCTCTTGATTCAGTGATTGTCGAATGCATCGATGCATGTCAGCTCCGGGTACATTTATTGCATAATTATTACACACATTTAAAGATTCAGAGCGCCTGAATGTGCACATGGTGTCTATCCAGTCCCGCAGCTTTGCAAGCACATACACCCAAAAAAAAAAAAATACATCAAAACGTGTGGCTTGATCGGGAATAGTGTGCTATAACTTTTCTCATTGATACCTTTCATCATTTCCGAAATATTCCACGTTTTCTGGCGATTTTCCCCCCATTCATTCCTTATGGAGAATTCCCAGTTTTCCATGAATTTTCAACTCTTAACTACTCATTCATACATTCACATAGAAACTCCATTCAAACTTTAAAACGTTCACGATAAGTAAGACTTTCTGACATTAATTCAGCTTTTTCACATCTTTCATACTTTTTACACAATCATGGTTTAAACTTAATGGAAATGTCAGTCTTTTTGAGAGTTTTCCATTAGTGTGTATTGCGTGGAATGTTCAGAGCTAGAGAGGGTGACATCATCACTAGAGAGTCTAAAGTGCTTGTCTTCAACTTGCTGTCAGAGCCACCATTATCACTCCATCTACATAATTTGTACATCAAGACATAGGAAAATGTGTGCCGGTCACAGACATGTAACTGTGGAAGCAAATGGACTTAAACTTTTGTCTTAATGAGCTTCCAAGCAACAGGAGCACCAACCAACTGCTGCTTTAACTTCCATTTGAAGTGGGAGAAGACATTTTAGGAATGAGGCAGAACCAGCCACTTCTTCCAACAGCTAGTGTGGTCACATTTTTGACTCTACAGACACAAATCTCACTAAATGTGTTCAGCAGGCTCTTGTCCTGCTGAAAATATCCCCATTTTGGTAATAGGAGTTACAGTTTAGGTGCTACAAGTGTAATCATGAGAGGTGTCACTCAGCTAAAGTCTATGAAATAAAGCCTCCAACCCAGGACACACAGCAGGTACCATTACCATGGCAACCCTTAATTGGACACAGCTGATTGAGATGACCTAATTAACACAGTTTGGCTTTAAACTAAATTCAAATCTTCTAATATTCAAGATAGAGAGACTCTAGAGAGAGATAGAGTAAATGTATTTTAACAGGAAGCGCAGAATGACCCTTGCTTTTCAAAATAAAGACCCCAATAGCTTCTTAACAGGAGGCAACACACCGAGCATTCAGGCGCACTCAAAATTTCTTGAGAAATGTTCTAGTTTATTTTAATATTCACGCTGTGAAAAAAAAGAAAACTTCTTGGCAGTGGTAGTTTAGCGTTTAATAACAAAAAAGTAAAATTGTGATGAAATAGTTTATGGCGATAGTCATCTGTAGCACCACCAGGTGGCAGCAAACTGCTGTTTGAGACCAACTCTGCAAAGTAACCAGATCAGACAGCTGTGTTATAATGTCAGTGTCTTTATGCGTGCTCTTGATTTCCATGAAAATAAAAAAAATGACTGAAAAATAATGAGATCAGGAGTCTCACTGTGCCCTGGCAACTATTCAGGCCACTCAGTAAGGAATGAAGGGCAACTATTTGAATCGATGAGGTCTGTGCCGTCGCAGGAGGACTTCATAAGCTTCCTGGATCTTCAAAAACGTTGCCTCAGCCTCCTTGCTGGGGTTGTGGTCTGGATGCCATGTCTTGGCCAGCTCCCTGTAGCTGCGAGTTATCTCCTCAAGAGAGGCCTCTACTTCCAGTGACAACACCTGCAACACAAATATATCCAGATACACAGTTTGGAAATTATAGCTTTGCCAGAGCAATGACTGACGTACAGTATACACCTCGAACAATCACTATTTTAACTCATCACTTATATAGCCTTTCCAGAGATATGAGATCCCTCACCTGCAGTGCCTCTTTTTCTTTCTCAGTGTATTCTTTGAGCAGTATTTCCAGCACTTTCTTCCAAGCCTCTTCATAGTACCCCCCTCCAGTAAGAAAACACAAGACCCGATATGGCATTAAAAGAATGTACTCCAACACACTTCTGAGCCAAGGCAGAAACCAGAAAATATCCAGCAGTGCTGCTACACAGTCAGACAGGTAGTACAGGGTGGCTGTGGTGTTATGGAAAATACAGTAACCCAACGGAGCAGAGAAGGCCAGCCAGGCTAGACCAAGCCTGTAAAGCCGTGGAACTGCGAAAGATAGAAATAAATTTAATTTTAGTATGCCTTAAAAATTCTTAGACAAGCAATGTTATCAAGGTATGCTATTGTCAGATCACCTCACCTAGTTTCTGTTTGCTCCCGGGTGTCTGTGGGGGTTTGAACCTGCTGTGCTGCGCTGCAGTGACACTGGCAGCCAGGCTTATAGGCAGAGGTGATAAAGTGCTGCCATAGAAAATAGTAGAGGTTATGAGACAAGCAGTCAAAGTTTTTTGGAGATCTGAAGTCTGCTGACCAACACTGGACACCAGATGTACCCCTGCACCCACACACAAAGGCAGAACGATCAAGTAGAAGAAACTGAGGGAGCTCAGTCCTATCAGAGCCACAGTGCCAAAGTAGATCCCAACACACACTTGTCCAGCAAATCTGACAGGGCCTACAGATGGAGGAACCTTGGTGGGGGGTCTTTTTCTTTCTTTCTCTGCATCTTGATTGGCCTCACTGACATATGCAGGAATACGTATGAACTCTCTGATCCAGCCAAATCCAAATCCTCCCAGGGTTAGCATCCATAACAGAGCGTGGCTGTCTCTTCCTAAATATAAATGGTGGAAGCCCAAAGGTCCACCTGCTGCCCACAGGGCATAGGCTACCATTACACTTTTCACCATACTTTGGCCTCGGTGAATCAGTCCCTGTACAAGTAAATATTAGTCATACTTGATGAGTACCTGCAATGAAAAAACAGGAGAGATTAGTCTTACCGTACCTAAGTCAAACTGTAGGAATATGTCAGTTCTTGACAGGAGTTAATAAATATTCTTTATAATTTGTAATTTACATTCATGCTACATTCCCCTATGCTGCTGTGCCAATTTGAATTTACCCTACAGGGGATCAGTAAAGGAACATCTTGTCTTATTTAGAGGTGAGCCAATCAAGCTGTCAGTGTTTTTTGGATGACTTCATTTGGTTTGAATTATAGTTTATGTTTTTGATCCGGTGTTATTTATATATATATTCATATCTTGCTATATGGACTTCTGATAGGTATTTTACCAATTTAATTAATTCATTATTTTTTAATTTAATTTAAAAAAAAAAATGTTTTATAACATTTGTAATTGCTTTTACCAACTTATTTCATTACAAGTCTGTGTTATACATTCAGTAGATTTCTCTGCAATCTGTGTGCTGCTGGTATCTTGGCTGACACACTCAAAGGGATTTTAATCTCTGTGATCCAGTTCCATGGTTAAATAATATATTATATAAGAGGGATTTAGCTCATGATAGACATTGTCATTTTAAGTCATTACGTGATCCAAAAACATAGTAAGCTGTAACTGTCCATGTTAATACATGTGTGTGTGGGGGGGGGGTTTGAGAGAAAACAAGTCTTGTACGAAAAAAGTCAGACATGAGATTGTAGGAACCAACCTTTCTCTACAGGCCGATCCGCAATTAATCCAAAGGCTATATCAGTCATGTAATTTGATTTTATTTAATAGCAACTAGGTTACTTACTGCCCATAAGCCCATAATTTCAGTCCTTTCCAGTCCTTTCCGTAGTTGAAGATGGTGTATGTTGTTGCAACAGATGGACTTTGGATCATGGCAATGAAATTACGCTGTGGCCTTAAAGCACCAACATTTAGTTCCCTTGATCATCTGAACTGATAAGGTAAAGAAAAGGTCGGAAAGGGACATGTGTGATGTTCGGCTAAATGCTTCAAAAAGTGAATAATTTTGTTTGTTAAACGTTTTAATGAAACAATGCATTGCAGACTCATAGCAATACACAAATTAAGAACACTAAACCCTGAATTAAAGCCTTGCCAAGCACATGCTGAAACTGACAAAAAAATAAAACTATTATAGAAATCCAAAACCTACTGCCTGAAAACAACAACAAGGGTTGTAAGAAGTTAGGTTCTTAAAATACAGTAGCTTCAGCAAAAGTATCAATACCACTATGTAAAAATATTCCTTAGTACGTTACTTGAAGTACGGAGAAATTGAACTTGAAGTATCAAGAGTAAAAGTACTCATTATGCAAACAGAATTGCACATGTCACTGCAGAATCACCCTCAACCCATAAAAGGAACACTTAAAGTCCCCCTCCACTCTAAAACTTGTTTTTCTTCTTGTTCTTACAGCTGCATGTCTCATTGTCACTGTGCAGAATGATGTATGTGCAGAGTTTGACACTGGAAGGATGTTTTCACACTCCTCTGCTGAGAGTGAAAAGTTTCTTTGTGCTCACTGAAAATCAGATTTAAAGGGGCGTGGAGGGGTGAGGGATGAGGAATATGTCAGACAGAATACATGTAGTTGTCTCACCCTTTAGTCTGTTGGTCAATATTGATACTTCAATGGCTAATGGTAATTTCGTAATTAACCTTACTGCCTGAAGTCAAACAGCAGCAGTTCAGTGACGGTGTGCAAATACTGCTGACCTATTTTTGGATAAGCTAAATATGCAAAAGTGGGTAATTTATACTTATTTAAGGCATAAATTAGTCCATACCCAATTCTTCTGACCCCACTACTACACTGAATATTGTCTTGGTTTTTGTTTGTTTATATATATAATTTCCCCAGTGTGGGATCAGTAAAGTCTATTCTATCTTATATCTTATATCTATCATATATGATTTCAATAAGATAGACTTTATTGATCCCACACTGGGGAAATTCACTCGCTACAGCAGCTCCAGATGCAACACAACAGATATGAAAATACACATTAAATAAAAATAGAATAGAAAAATACAAGATATAATGAAAATAGAATAAAAGAATAAGAGTTGTATGCACACTATATAGAGCTTTTTATACAGTTGGATTGATGTATGAAATACATGGAATACTGCACAGGTTACAGCAGGAGGTAGTGGCATGGTATAAAAATAAATAATTGCACAGGACAAAAAACAAAAAACAAAAATATATATAGAGCAGTATCTATTAGTGGAGAAAAGGCTATAGATATACATATGTATAACTGTACATAGGAGTTTATGTCTATTTTATTGAGCTTGTCCTGTTTATTTATGCTTATTCTGTTTATGTACATTAAGAGCAATGTTAAATGTGTGCACATACCTGCCCAATAAAAACTGATTCTGAATATGTTGCTTCTGACAGTGAAGCACATTTCTTATCCAGTCTTTAATTATCCTCTCTGGTACGTTTGGTATATACACACACCTGTGGATATAAATGACACAAACATGATGATGACTATTAATTATAATGACGATAGACTGCTACCTGTAGAGCTCTCCAGCTTCCTGCCCTCTGTGTAGCACCGCCCCCCTCCGGACGACCCCTCCTTGTTACTGTTTTTTTTTTTTCTCTCTCTACTGTAGCAGAAGGCTAGCTCCGCCGTTTAAACACAGCCGGGCCAGCCAGCAGCGACACATCCACGGCATTCATGAGAAGATGCCCCGTGTTTTATCTTTTTAACCATCCCCCCCTCGCTTCCCTCCAGCGCTTTTAAAGCCGGAGGATACTGGTATGGTTTCGGAGAATGGAAGCGGACGACGTGTCGGTTAGAGAGCAACTTTTCCACAACCGTGTCCGGGAGACTATAGTAAGTAACGCCGGGCTAATGCGGCAGCCGTCGGTTAATATGCATATGAGCCTGCAAACGATGCCACTGGCAACCTCATGAGCCACGTTGTTTAACCAGCAAAGCGTTTTTGTTTCCTGTGACTTTAGCGGTGGGTTAGCCCTTCAGCTCTTAAGTTGTCTCATATTTCAGCATTGATCTGCAGTATCTGTGAGTTTAACGTGACTTTTAGGTTGTTTGAAGGTCGCTTGTTCTGGCTTTGCACACACACACTCATATATATATATATATATATACTGTCAATGGCTCTGACTGTTAATTATAGCGCGGATGCAGCTGGTCATGAGGTAACACAGGAACAGCATCTGGGGCTCTTCTGTTGAGTTTGTAAAGACCTGGGCCTCTTCCTAAATCTTCCTTTATCTGTTTGCCATTGCTTGGACCCAACCCCACTGCACATTTCCATTGTTCCTCTACAATTAAGATGAACATCTTTTACTTGTGCTGCTCTTTTCCCAGTTTGTGTAACAGCCTGTTGAACTTCAGACTTGCCAGAAAGATCAGTTCAGCTACAGCAAGGCATACTGACCTTTAACCCTTTAAAAGTACACTCAGATCTCCTAGGCTGTTCATGTCCTAAGATTGGAGATATTGCTGATACCGCGTACCATAAGGGATACTGTCCAACATCTTTTCTGTTGCATATTTTAGAACCAGTGGTTAACTTATCAATGTACCCTGGTTTGTGCTCTACTGTAAATAGATAAGAATACACTCACACATAGTTCACAATGTACTAGTACTGTGAGAGAGGAGCTGTACATTAGGCCAGCATGTAGGTGCATATGGGTGAAGTATAGAATATATAAATGTAATGATCCCCTGGGGAGATTGAGTCATTACAACAGTAAAACATATAGGCTAGAATATATGAACTAGTGAATCCAACAGACCTTTTTCAGAGGAACAACTAAACTGCTTTATATTTAGGCTGTGATATTTAATTACACTCTTTATGGAACTGATCTAGATTAGTTTTATTAGTTACACTTGTACCTTTCCTCCTATGACAAGTCAAAATTTCTTCTGTGGAAAAATGTCTGTTGCTTTAAATTGTAAAATTGTTCCCGGAGAAGTAATCTGAGGAAATCTTAAGGTGTTTCTGAAACCGACTCACAGCACAGCACCAGAGGTGTCTTTCCCCATCTATGTTTCTAGTGGCAGGCTCGGATATTTCCAAATATAAGTTATAAGTGACTAGATCAGTCCACGTACATTAGATCTTAATGACGGAGACGATTACACCTGCTAGATGATTCCATGCTTTTAATACCAGGCATACATTTACAGTTTTCTAGTAATATATCATATCATTTTCCACAAGCAAGAAACAAAATGCCTATCTTTATTCTAATGCCCTTGTTCTGACATTGTCCCATTCACCTAATGCAATTAGTCGACACCCCCTAAGCCACAGGATGGCCTCGAGTCTCCAGCTTACCATCTCCTCTTAGTGCTCTCTCTCAGGCTGGTCAGCTGCCTCTGCATCTCTGGTTATTATTGGCTTTGGGCCAAGCTCATCACCGATCAGCTCGTTTTGAATTAAAGAATATGTGACAGCAGTGTAAACACAGTTGTAGGATTTCACATAGCAAAGCATCCAGTTGATAAAGGCTCAACATATTGGAAGGACCAGATATAGATACTGTAGATGGATACAGCAGTGATAACATGCCAGAGTAAGAGCATGACTTGCATAAGCTGTGTGTATCACATTTTAACTTTAAAGAATTTATAAACAAAGTGGCAATTTAAACTAATTTGTGCAATACACCGAAATGTGAAAAATACTTTATGCAGTAGATATACAAGAGGCAAAATTTAAGCATCTTATACAGTCAAGTAAGGGTTCCCAGGAACCTGAAAACAGCGTGCAAATCAGGTGTATTAAAATATTACTGTTCTATTTGTAAAATCAATAGCATCTCATTTAGCCAGGCATCTTTTAAAAGAAGATATTGGTGATTACTGATCTATACCTATAAGCTGCAGACACTCTCCCCATTAGTGCTTGTTTTTTAACTTAAGGGAGATTTTTTTTGTTATGTCTGAGCATCCAGAAACTGATCAACTGAACTTTAAAAACCATTCAGATATTAAAATAGCGTGCGTATTAAAGGAATTCTTATAATCAGAGGTAGAGAAGGCCTATATAAATATGTAGGGGATCCTGCAGTCACAGGACATATACATTGGCAGAGGAAGTTAGAAGAGTGCCTGCACTTATCTCTGAGTGCTCACAAGACAAGAAGGCTCATTTACATAATGACACTACTCAGCGTCTGTTGTTGGAGCGCAGACGATTGGTATAATTCTGTGCTTCACTAGCAGAAAAAACTGGGCAGTATTTATGTGAAGTGTTGGCTTTATACAGCTTTTTGTGAAAAGCCTCATAGGAGCAGAGGAGATTTCTGCAAGTCAACAGTAATTCTTCCCAAATTCCAAAGAAACAATACCAAGTAAACATGCATCTCAAAATTCAGACCCACCAAGTGTTCTGTAAATGGATAACTAAGCAAAATAAGCAGCTAACAACTGAAAATGCGATTTCAGCCAAATGTCTGTCTTCCCTTGAGCTGATGCAACATTGTAAATCAATCTTAGATGAGAGCATCTGGCAAGTGTAACAAGTGCGGATTAAAGAACTTGTCTGCGTGAGATGGTGTAAATGTTGGTGCCAGGAGTACACACCCAGAGCCCGCACCCTGAGCCCAGAGGGATCCAGAGGGATCAATGATCAGCATAATAAAAGTGGAGATATGGGACACCCAGCATCAGCACACTTTAAGATATCAGGTGACCTGGAGAGAAGCGCTTTGAGTAGAGAATGTAACCTTAAAGGGCAGATTAAAAAAAACTCTATTCCAAATGTGTGTTTATTAGGAATCAATTGCTACATGTGTTTTGAGACTTTAATGATCTGTAATTTTGTTTCTGCTTCTGACTTTATTTTGGTTTATTTTCTAAGGAGAGGCTGTGGAATAAGCTCATTGTCACTGCTGTCATTTATTTCCTGTTCTCAAGGACATAATTACCTATCTGGGTTTTCAGTTGTTGCTTCTCTGAAATCTTATATCACTAAGATATCAAATATTGATAAATATTGATACATTCAGGTAAAATGAACTCTTGACACAGCACAGTGTAGCTGCCACCTGCTAGCGGATTAGAATGGTTTTGCCCGTGCAACATTTTTGTTGATTAAATCTTGAATAGGCCTTATGGGCCTAATCTATCCTCTTAGTTATAAACAAAGGCTGACATGCCTGCACGCCTGAATGTGTTTAGCTGGACAAGAGGCTAGGAGCCCCTGAAATAACACTCTCTGAGGGAGTCCACTTGACATTTTGCAAGGATGTCCTGTGCCACTGCCAACCTCCCACTCCCACTGAATTATTACAGGAACTACAAGGTTAGGCAAGATGTTAAAACATTTGAGCTTAATTGTGTTTTGCTTGAATCAGCACAAGAATATTTAGATTACTCAGTGAATTTTATAAATTTGAGAGCGAACTGTGAGCCCTGGGACTTTGTGTTCAATACAATGATGTCCGTCTGAATACTGAATTCCTTTAAACGCTCTACTCAGTGGCCTGTTATGTGCTTCCGGCTCTCAACATTACCAATCAGCACGTGTCCCCACTTACGTCAACTAAAAAGGGTGTTATTAGCCCTTTCCACCTATTTTTCGCTCAATACCCATTCTTTGTTCCCTGCTTTTCCTTTTTTGGATTAACCATAGCAAGCTTCTTGCCAAATTACACTCCGTTATTGAACAATTTTGCAGACTGAGCTGATTAGCTGTGTACAGTCCATTGTTTCGTGCGATGCAGGTGGTATCCACAGTGAAACACTGTATTTCTCCACAGATTACATTATTGTTAGTTTGAAATGAAAGTTTTCTGCCCATATGCATATGTAATGCACACTGCAGTCCTGTTAGGTAGGTCTTAGTACAGCATGACTACAAGATATGTCTGACTTCTTTATTTGCTGTAGCCTATGAGAGATACTATATAGCAGAAACAACAGGTTTCTTATATCAGCAGTTGAACTTTGTAGATCAGGCAACTGTTTGAGTTGTTTTTGATTTTTTTTTTGTTTCCATTCTTAAATAGGTCAACACCTCAACTGTTAAACTGTACAGGAGGAGGGGTGTATACCCACACCCCAGCCTCATTTGTTATTGTGCCATATGTCCCAGTGATCTATTTAAAAGAAAAAAACCTTTTGTTATGCATTTAGAATAATAGAATCACGGATGTAAATGGGCACTGTAAATGGCTGGACTAACTGTAACATAACTTTCATGGAAACCTGATACTTAACAATAATTAATTTCTAGGCTATTTGTTCTTCCAAGGAACTCATTATGTTTGCATCCTTTTTAAAAAAAACTGGTTTTGCACCATTCACCAGAAAGCCTCTGTCTCTTTGTTTGTTTCTGTTGTTACCTCGGGGACAGACTTCTACATGCTGTACATCTATCTGCTACCCTTACCAAGCTTCCTCTGAACTGCCAAGCGGAAATGTTTTGATCAGTGCTTGTGATCTGGCAACATAATTAATCTGTCAGTGCAACACTTTGGTGCACAGTATTGCCACTGTTGGGTGGAATTAACATGGCATTTATGTGGACAATCCTGGTCCACAGGGGACAAATCCTGGTGATGTTGGTGATGCTGTGACCTCTCATTCAGCAGCACCAGCAGAGCAGAATTTGACCAAGGTTCATGACAGGATACCTCTTAAAACGATTGATTTCCTGTCAGCCTCAGATGTACTTAATCAAGCAGCCGTGAATCCTGAACACTCTTTCTCTAATAACATGAACAGCTTCTTAATTTTTCATCACTCATTCGTGCCGTTGTCTGGCAGGAAGATACCGACCTTATGTTGCCCATTTCAGTGGTATCCCAACATGTTTACTGACATTTAAATAGATAATCTAATGTGTCAAATCATCCGTGTAACAGGACGTACTGGGCTATCTGTATCTAAAAGAATAACTTGTAAAGCCTTGGCTGTGTGTGTGTGTGTCTGAAAACAGTCAATATTGAGCACAATGTAAAGACTCACACTAACATGGGTTTGTGTTGGTCTTTAAATTGTGCTCAATATTGACTGTGTTTTTCTTACTTTTAGACTAATACACTGGTCTAAGTTTAATCGACTGGGAAATTAGTCGTTAGAAACATCCCTAACTTTTATAACTTTTTTTACTGACATGCTAACTGTGTGTTCACATCATTTGCAATGCAGGAATGGGAAAGAGCCCAAGGGATCTTAATCATGAGAAGCACTTGTGTGGGACAGGAGCTGTCAGACTCACATTGTTTAGTTTTAATTTCCACTTTGCCCAGGAACTTTCCTATTCTCTAATACGTTGCTGCAGAGGAGAGTGCATGCACCCTTTCCTTTAAGTTTTATTACAGTAACTGCTCTCTCTTGTTTTGTATAATGGTCATACATGAGATGTTGAGAGCTTTGTCAGAGGAGTCGACAGATTGCTGAGTGAATATAGGTTTAGCCTAAATTTGTTGGTAGATTTAGTGTAATGTCAGACAATGATCTTTACAGGCAGTATTGGGGCTATCTGTCACTGGTATTAACCCTTCTTTCTCCTCTTATTCCTCTTAATCCTGTCTAGTTTATCACTGTCGCCCATTTCACTCTTTGAATAAAGTGATAATCTTCTGCTTCCATCTGTCTCTCTAAACCTTAGCAAAATGGTGAATGTTTTGGGCTGTTTGCATTTGTAGCAATACATAACCTTTTTGTTTATTTCTTGCTGTTTATCAGCACAAAAACCCTCCAGAATATTCTATTAGGAACAAATCTGTTGTAGCGTGACTGTTTGCTTGCCATCTCCTCTCCTTTTCTGTCTCTCGGGTGTTTTCGGTATCTGTGCTGCATATCCACCCCCACTTTTAAGACTTATCAGAACATAGAAAATCAGGGATATGAGCCAACCTAAATAAATGTGTTGCTCATCAGCTGTACTGGACTGAACATGACAGTTTGTTAAGACGACTGCACTTTCTTTGTGCAAATTAGTTGCCTAAACAAGTCAAATAAATGTCCCTTTTTTTTTTTTTTTTTACATGTTTTTAAATTGTACAAATTGATGCAAATGAAATTATTCTCTGTCTCTTCTGCAGATCTGTGTACTCCTGTTTACATGCCTTTACATACTATCCTACCTCATACTTACCCACTTCAGGAAGACTGCAGAGTTTGTCACAGGTGAGTTTTTGCTCTGTGAGAAAGATTTCTATCACAGGCTTATGGAGAATTGCCGGGAGGGGAATTGATGGTGTTGACGAGCATACTGATTACATTGGTGTTTTGGAATTTTTTTTCCCCCCGCAGAGTATGTTGGCCACACTTTTCAAGCAAGCACAGGTGTTGCTAAGACACTACCCTTTCTATTTTGAGTAAATAGTCTCTTCTTTTGTTTTGCAAACATCATGTTTATACTTTTAAATATTTTTTTATTGCATATAAATTCTAAGTTGCATGCATTTACACATTTATATGTAGATATTTGTAGGTGTTAATAATAGCTGTGTGTTTGCTTACAAGTTGCATAAATATAGTTTACACATATGTATGTTTACACACTGGCAACATTTCAAACCCAAGGCTCTGGACCTTGACTGGAGCAATCCAGAGGTGCAGAAAGTGTGTTACGTAACATGCAACCACCTCTTCAGACAGTATCCCTGTGGATCAGGATGGTGGAGGGGCGTTGAAGAATGTTCCTACAAGATAAACAGAGTTTTGAGTTGAAGTTCCCTCTACTTGCAATCATACTGCACAACCAACTTCATGAAACTGGCTTAATTTGCCATTATTGAGTTAGTGACAGTGGGAACAATGTAGAAAAATATGTTATGGTCAACACAGTGCTGTCAGCTTTGTAACAATGTGTTCTCAAAACTCAAAATTTTTTTAAATGTCCGCTGTGTGAATGGGCTGAGAGTTGCATAATGAATCCAATAACTGGCCACTATTGGAAGCAGATGTAGGATGTCCAACTCGCCTCTCTGCTCCGCTGTGGCTGGGTTGTGACCGGGAAGATGGCCAGCTCTTTTTCTTCTCTTTTGAGGGGGGCGGGGGAAGGAACCTGCTATGCATTAACCCACTGTTGTAAATGTTGCTTGTGTAGCAACAACAGCAAGAACAGTCGTGCCCCGCAGCCGAATGACAATTGCGCAATATTACTCGACAGAGTTGTTTTTGTCATTAAGGAGTCAAGAACTGGTTTTTGCTCCTCGGGCTATACCTCCATTATTAAACATCTGTGGCAACATTTATGTAGGAAGAAGTTACAGTATCATGCACAGTGGTGTATATTACTTATCAAAGTACAGCAATAATACAGTATAAATAGCTAGAGATCTATAGCATGTTGCATGATACTGGCTTTTTTGGGGGGTTTATAAAGTGTTTTGGACATGCATACTTACATTTACAGAAGGGTCTTTTTGGTATTCTTAATACTACATTTCTTGCAGTTTCCTACCCATGTGTAATTCAGTTTTTACTAGTCTTGGTCTCACTTGAACAGAATGTTCCTAACATGCTTGCCCCCAACCCGCCCCCCACTCTTGAGGCCAGTGAGAGTAGCTTTTTTCATCCTTGTATGGACTGCTTCTATTACAGCTCTCCCCTGTATAGAGATATTGATAGATAGATTTTACCTTTCTTATGACAACACAGTCTTGCTATCTATTAACATTTCAACACTTTATCTGATTTGCAGTCAGAACAACCTGTCTTTAAGCCTGTCTCAGTAGAAAATGGTTCCTCCTAGAAAAGACGTTGGTTATGCCTGTGGCAACTTAACCTTGTTAAAACTTAGATGTCAAAACAAACAAAAGTCTGAATCACTTTTGTAATAGTTGTGTAATCCTATTCTTTTTTTCTTTCTCTACTCTGTTTCAGATGATGTTGAAGATGCCACCGTTAACAAAATTGCGTAAGTAAAAACCTCTAATGATTAACTGCACAGCAATCTGTTCTCACTCCTTCACTTTGATTAGTGTCAGTGTGAATGGTTGAACAGATACCTTTAGTCAACGTGACATGTGTTGTAGGCCAGCTGGGTGTAGATTTATTGCCCTGTCTTGTGTGTGTGCCTGTGTGCTTATGAGGTTGTTGGTTGGGATGGCATCCACATCAGTGTCACTCTGCCCTTTGTCCCTACACGCTGGCACCGTATTACCTTATCCAGTGCCACCCTAGCCTTTCACCTAGGTTTTGCTGTTACGCTAAGGCTAAGCACAAATACACATGCGACCTCGCTTATGGCCTGTCTTTCTCCCTCTCCCAGGCTGTGGTTGTGTACGTTCACCCTGTCTGTGGCAGTGTGTGCTGTGCTCCTTCTTCCCATCTCTATTTTGTCCAATGAGGTGCTGCTCACCTTCCCACAGAGCTACTACATGCAGTGGCTCAACGGATCTCTTATCCACGGTACATTTTCTGTTTATTAGTCAGCAACCCCAAACACTAACACGAATGGTAAAACCTGTCAAACAACGCAGGGGATTAGTCTGGAAACTGGATCAGATTTAACGAGGCTCACTTGTAAATAACCCGCTAATCAATACACAACAGGCCTGTGTCCAAACAGATCATTATTATGGATACAGTAGCTGTGACCTTGTTGTGTGCATTATTTGGGTTTTTGAAAAAATGGTCCAGCTGTTTACCAACTGCTGCTGTTTGCCTCAGTCAAACCCTTCAGCTCCATCTGAATAAGAATGTTTTTTTTATTTAATTGATAAGCTAAGATGTATAGTTAATAGTTATGAAGCCCAAAAGTTAACCAGGCATGTAGTGTTGTTTAATGTGAGACACATTTTAATAATAATCTCAGCTTTTCACTTTTAATTGTTGTACATTCTTGTTTATTAGCACATTTGACTTGGTGTTCAGTCTTGTCAGTCTACACTGCCTGGTACCTCACAGTGGCTGACATTGGTACTGCCAAAGTGTTTCAATACAGTTTGAACCCTAATGAATGTTTGCAATAAAAATTAATATTTGGAACATCTCTCTTCCTCTCTTGTCAGGGTTGTGGAACCTAGTTTTCCTTTTCTCCAATTTGTCCTTGGTCTTCCTCATGCCCTTTGCCTACTTCTTCACGGAGTCTGAGGGATTTGCAGGGTCCAAAAAGGTACCTGATTTTGGCGTCTTCTCACAAATTGCGACTCTGGACTAAACCAAACCATTTAATAAAGACTTGTGTGTGAACCGGTTCTGGTTTTGTTTGTTTTAGGGGGTTATGGCACGAGTTTATGAAGCAGTTGTGCTGCTGTTGCTGCTGGCTCTGCTTGTGCTGGGCATTGTGTGGGTGGCATCAGCGCTCCTCCATGATAACATAGCCAGAAAGAGCCTTTACGGTGAGTCACATGCATTGTAGATTCCTCTGTGACAATCATTTTTGCAGTTTTTAATTTAGTTGCTCACACTCTCCTTCTCTGAATGTCAGACCTGTGGGAGTATTACCTTCCCTACCTGTACTCAGGCATCTCTCTGTTTGGAGTCTTGCTGCTTTTGTGTAAGTAATATCTCAACCACAATTACTTTATACAGAAACTGTGGTGTATTAGACCTGCAAATCACCATCTATGTGTTTCTCTCCTCAGTGTGCACTCCCTTTGGGTTGTCCCGAATGTTCAGTGTAACTGGCAGCCTATTGGTCAAACCACGGGTGAGTAACAGTCCCAGTGACTAATAAAAGTCTGCCCACTTCACATAGAGTAGCCCTTATATTAACAGTTATGGCTTGTGGCTCTGAACTGAATCGATTAATGCCTATTATCCCCCTCAGCTGTTAGAAGATGTAGAAGATACTTTGAGCTGCACCATGTTTGAGGAAAACTCACTCTCCAGGAAACTGAACTGTGAGTGCCTCACCATAAACACATTACTTTGCCCTTTTCTGGTGATTCAGTTTAAAGCTGACTTTATGTGTCTTTTTGTCTCTATCGTGTGCTGTTGTGTCTGAAGGTGGTAGTACGTCATGCTGGGTCAAGTTGAACATGGAGGCGATGAAAAAAGAGCACCAAACAGTTCGGAGCAAGCGCATCGCCCTGGGTAAGATTGACTGAACAGGCTGCTCCCTGCTGGGCTTCTCTCACAGTGATTACATTGTATAGTTATTTGTTGTTGCACACTCATTTATTACTGTTGCTTTGCTCACAGAAATGCGTAGAAAAGCGTCCCCGTGGCAGCGAAACTTGGGCTATCCATTGGCCATGCTCATGCTCCTCGCACTGACGGTACTCACCATTTTATAATTATAATTATAATTTTAATTTATTCTCACAGGCTGGTTTAACTCATATTGATAAACGCAGACGGTTGTTTTTAATGTTGTATAATTGCTTTGCATGTCTCTTCAGGTGATGTGTGTACTGATGGTCTGTTTCAATGTGTTGGAGTTGCTCCTGGATGAGGCGGCTTTGCCCAGAGGGATGGAGGTGAGGATTTAGCCGCTAAGACCTTGTGAACATTTTCTGCTTGGTTTACCACAGCCAGTTATCTGTGTGCACTGATGACTGTTATTTTTGTGCTTTTTAGGACCCTCACCTGGGGATGGCCTCCTTCTCCATGTTTGGCTCACTGGGCGCTGCAGTTCAAGTAGTCCTTATCCTGTATCCTTTTATCCCATTCACCTCTGAGTGTGTGTGCACAGAGCTGACGCGTCATGTCCATTTGGCTGTGACTAGTCCACTTACAGACTCCTTGATATTTGACCAGGGTGTGATGTTGACTCATTCTTTTACATTCATACATTGAAAACTTGTTAATAATTTACTAGGATGTTTAGGATGTTATGTACAATCTCTGTGAGTATGTTAGTCTTCTTTCCAGTGTTGTCCTTAAAATGAATTTTACAGCTATTTGATGGTGTCCTCAGTGGTGGGCTTCTATAGTTCTCCTCTCTTCACTGGCCTCCTGCCTCGTGCACAGGACACCAACCTCACACAGGTAACTGGCAGATATCCTTTACATGTATCTCACATCCCTCATCTCTTATCTCACAGTCATGTTCTGTGTTTACTCCTTATAGTAAATTCTACATTTCTCTATTGTTCTGTTCATTTCAGATCATTGCAAACTGCGTGTCGCTGCTTATCCTGAGCTCAGCACTGCCGGTCTTTTCACGAACACTTGGTAAGGACCTTACATAAATGCCAATGCAGTATTTATTAGACTACAGCGTGTCCCAGTTCCACAGTACACACCAATACTTAGCAGGTTTTGAATATGTAGTGTGTTCACAGTGGACAAGTGACTACACTAAAGCCTGCAGTTTGAATATACACAATGCAAAACCTTCTGCCTCTCTCTTTGCTGCTCCTATCACCACACTAAGCCCCTCCCACCAAACCCACAACTTTGAACGTCAGCAGAAGGAGTCTGGTTGCCTTGCTAAGCCTCATAGGTCTCACTCTCCATGGTGTGAGCCAGCGACTCCTTTTCTCAATGACGCTTCAGAGGGCGCTGCGACGCCGTCCAATGGTGCAGGCACACTGGATCCATTGACTGATGTCAAGTTGACAGATATTATTCGTTTTCTATGGAGAGCAGGAGATGTTGAGCATGATGGATACATCGCAGCGAGTATCTGAATTTGCACAAACACGATTGGACTTCAACTCTATGCAAATAAATTCCCTTTAGCGCAATGCAGCAGACTCACAAAACTCAGATCAAACTGAATCAAACAAATATGAATTAATACTCTGTTAATGTATTGTCTGTTTCTTGCCTCAAATTTTTTCAGAAACATTTTAGTGCGCTGTTTAGCCGTAATATGGGAATGTTTTTGACCTAAAGCTTGAAAATAGCAGATCCAAAACCAAGCACCGCCCAACATGCCCACTAGTTCAGTAGTGTGGTGCACCCAGATGCATCTCACCGGTGTCTGTGTGTCTGCATCATAACAGCGGGACGCCTCAGACTTCCTCCGCAACACCCTGCTTCTTCGGTCAGGGGCAAGAAACAGTGGGGGGCCAGATTCCTGTGGGAGGGGGGGCGCTGTATTACTGCACTGTGACTGGACTGATTTTCTAAAGCCTGAAAACCAAACCAAGAGGCGATGCAGAAGTCTAGCTGTCTGTAAGATCACTTGAATTACAAGATACTGAAAGGTTATTATGGTATTTTTCCTAATTATGCCAAAACAGAACTGCCTACCCCAGTTTTAAGTTATAATTCAATCAATAATTCATCCTGATTGTTCACCTGGTAGACCTGCCACCCTTATCTACATTGTGACATCCCCCCTCTCTCCCCCACACTTCCTGTCACACTTTAATTGGTAGCTATCACTACCAATTAAAGGCAATAAAAGCCCCCCAAAACATTACACTTTGTCCCATAATGCAATTCACTAATTAAAGTTTTAAAGTTACTTACAGCTGCCAAACATAAAAGAAATTGTGGGTGGTGGTGAGACAGTGAAGAGATGAAATCCGTAGTATAACTGCAGAAAGAGTATACTAATGATATATCGCACATAATGTATACAATTAGTATGGAATTGGGTCACAGCATCTTGTATCAAGAACTGCTGAATCAACATTTTACTTGTAGTTTAAGTAACAGCCACAAGAGGGCGATTGTCTGCCATGAAACGTTGCAGGTTCATTGTGCAGTTCATTCATAAGTAAAACGTGTAATTTTGCTTCTATTCCATCCTGTTAGGGATCACCCGCTTTGATCTACTTGGAGACTTTGGTCGGTATAACTGGCTTGGGAACTTCTACATTGTCTTCCTGTACAACATGCTGTTTGCTGGTCTCACTTCTGCCTCCCTGATCAAGACAGTCACCTGGGCAGTACAGAGAGAGCTTATCCGTGCCTTTGGTCAGTCTACTTTCATTTTTATTTTCACGAAGCAAGGGGAAAGTGCTTTGTTTGCATATATTTTTGTCTCTGTGGGGGTAGTGTTGTGCTGAAATTCACTGCACTTTGGGTAGCTGTGTCATAAGTTTTCCCACCTTTGGCCCCATTTCCCTATGGGCTGGTCTCTCTTCCTCAGATAGAAAGAATACAATTCTTTCAGGAAAGTGTAAAGAGACAAGCGGAGAGTCAGGTCCCCTTGGGACCTTCAGGCACACCGCCCTAGACCCCTCGCAGCACACACACCCTCTACCCCTCCACCCAACACAAACAAGCGCTCAGAGCATGGACACGCCAAACACACATATACACGCAATCCCCTTCCTCACAGTACAGATAGCATCTCTGCACCATGGCAGCTCTCCTGCACTTTCCCATTGCCTCCCAACTCACTTTTGTTCTGTGATTAATAGACTTTCATTTCACATAAATCTATATTTTTCTTAACTTTGCTAGTTTAATGCTCCACCTTGTGATTGTGTGTGATGTTATGGTCCTTTTTTTGCAGGTCTCCACAGACTGCCTTTAACGGTGTCACGCTCCACCGTCCCCTTCAGACTCCTCCTGGCCAGTGGACTGTCTAAAATCCAGTGACTTTTCCTCCTCGCCACTGCCTTTCCAAACCTTTTTTAGAAACTGTGCCACTTCAAATGTGCCCTTGTTGGATTAAACATGTTTGCTATTCAGTCCCTTTGCCACTTGGTACATGGGTGGGGTCGCCCCGTGTGAAGTGACTGGAGAAGGTGACGAGTCTGTCTGCACTACATCCAGTGTGAGATCTGCTTTAAGCTGTGTTTAATGACCAATATATCAGGGTCCACTTTTGTGCAGTTATTTTGACTGCAAGGACAAGTACTGGTACAAGAGGTTAGCTGAGTGGTCATGGTTACAACTGGAACAAGGGGAAAATGGATTTAAGCCATATTGGCAGACCTGCCATAGCGGACAATGACACAGCAATCCCCACACAAAACCTGACGCCTAATGAAAAGAGGGTCCAGTGGATAGCCGTTGTTCTGTTGACACATGTGAAAGTCAGCAGAGTTATTTTGAAATATTACATTGTAACTGTGACATAATTTCCTCTTCCTGCTCCAGGTCGATAGAGTGCTCTCTCTTTCTCTGTGGCTTCCCACACTTTTCCTCTCCTACGTTGTATCACTATTTTAAGATTGGGAATCTTACTTCCATGTGTTTGGTGGTCCAGTCTGCACCAGTGTTATGTTAGTTGATGAGAGGAAGTTGTTATTGGGAGCAAATAGTACACAGAGTACCTTGTCTGTCTATGGGTTCACAGGTTACACAGGGAATATGAGAGTGAGGTAATCGTCTCAGTGTTGGAGCTTTTGTACAAACTCTACTAGGAGAATTAAAAGCATTTTCTGTGGTGATTTATCATTGAAGAGGGTTTTTACTATTGTGGATGACAGTAAACTTACTGACTACGGATTACTCATTGATTTATAAAAATAGACTAAAAAGCTTTACACTTTGTCTTATGCAATGTTGAATGCCATGTGATACTCACTTGGAGGAACGTCTGCCTTTTGACCAATCAAACTGTGAATTGCTACGACTTTATGTGGGGAAGTGCAATATTTTATTAGCAAAAGCACACTTTTTAACTTTACCAAAAGTCATTTTTAAATCTTCTGTATGATTCCTTTTAATTTTCTGTGAAGTATTTTTTTTTTCATCTCATTCCTCTTTGTTGGACAGTGGATGAATGTTAGGAATAGTTTGGGAATGTTTTCAAAAAGCAAATGTGACCATCAATCCATGCAATCCTTTTCCGGTGTCAGTTTTTTGATACCTTAAATTCGCTCATGTTTATCAATGTGTTGGTGATCCTGTGTCACCGTTTGCCTTTGCTGCTGTATCAGCAGGTTATTAGCTGTTGGTTTGACCAGCAGGGGACAGTGTCTCTCAAACCCAGCACCAGCCTCTGTGTTGTGTGAGTCTGTATGTCTCTCTGGTTAGTTATTATATGTATTACATACGGAGCACTCTGAGGTTTACTCATTTCACTTTTTTTCTGGGAATTTTTCTTTTGTTTTTTGGGAACACAAATTTTTATAATGTACTGTTTTTTTTATCATTATTTATGGGCTTTTTGGGATGTACAGCACATGTTGAGACATTACTACATACTACATTACTCTTTAACAGTAAAAAAATGTTGAATGTGATGCAGGTGAGACAAGAAAATCTTTAGAGTTGCTCTCAAGGATAAAAAAAATTAGTGTGTTTATTGTTTACCTTTGAAATGCTCTGAATTTTTAACCATCATTGTTTTATGAGAAGAAAGGAATAAAAATCATCTTGTGTCCTTAACTAACTTGTGTCCTTTTTTTGGATACACATCAAGGTGACTTTGACTGTTTCTTTGATGCTGTTACATGTTTGTTACATTTTATGAAATGTATCTACATTGTGATTGATCTGATGTGGCCTGTGGTGGGTGTGTGTGTGACTGGTGAGGGCGTCTGTCCTCCATGTCCCTCCACCCTTTTGTTGCACTTCTTTAATCAGCAGCAGAAGAAAGCCATATTTTGGCCTGTCTGTCAGTAGGGTCCAGCCACGACGCCACTACAGCCGTAGCCCACGCTTTCCCCACTCTGATGCAACAGCCAGATAAAATCCCTGCAAATCAGGAGTAGAAGCGACGTTCACTCACATTCACTCCTTCATGTCCCCACCACCCACCCACCCACCTCCTTTCTTCAATCCCTTTTCCTTGCCTATTGTTCATTTCCTCATCTCATTTATTCTGAAGTCAGTTCAAGAAAAGCCAGACTCTGATTAATTTCTCCCTCTTGATTTTTGTTTGCATTTCTTGTTTTGTTTTGTTGGATGTTTTAATTAAGCTTATTTGGTTTAGGTTTTGTTTTGCACTGCGTTTCCTTTGCAAAAAGGAAATGAACTCAAATGTCGCCGTAACATTACTTGCACATCTGGAGGCCAGTTACCCTCAGGGAAGTGACACATAAGCCAGATATAAGGTGTGGAGGGCAGTTTAGTGCATTATCGGTGTGTCTTGAAAGAAAGAAGAAAGAGTTTGTTCAATGTGATTAATGTTTAATGAACAAACCCAGACACATGCTGTGATTCAGAGGGCCAAAAATAATTCAAAAAATGCAATTTACAGTCATTGTACACTATATTCCAGGACATGCACATTGCTAAATTATGCTATGTGAATATAAGCAACAGAGATGATAAATATATAAAGCTTTTATTTATGACAATGCGATACATATGAGTCCTAGAACCCATTCCATGAACTAAAATTCCCTGAAACTAAATAATTTAAAGTAACAAAGCCACAACTGTGTTACTGAAAGTCTGTCTGGCTTATTCAAGAATAACTAGCAAACTGGATTTTGTAATTTGCCTCTATTAATGTCCACACACACACATAAATATCACATAACCTTGGTTTTAGTTGGGGGGGGGGGGGAAACTAGGATAGCACCTCTCCCTGCAGCAAAATATAAAGGTTGATAGTGCAATCAAAGTGTCCCAGCAGTCCCATTGGGTAACACGCTCTATTGGACTGGTTGTCGGGCATATCGGGGACAAGGCGGGAGACGGGCAGCTTGTAATGGGATGAGATAGGCTATCTTTATTGTCAAAACATAAGAATGAAGGGGGGAAAAAGACAAAGATTAGCTTTCCTGACAGTCGGCTGTTTGAAGTTCATGCCAAAGTGCATTAGGGGCTGTTATTCCCTCGTTTTGTATGCTTGCAAATACAGAACCACTCACAGGAAAAGGCGAGACTTGCTCGCTAATCAACTGATAATGGGTCACACTGTCCGTTTGCCATAGCTGCCCGCCATCCTGCGTGCACACTCACGGCACACTTGCTTCACACAGTTGACTGGCGCATGCCTTTGTTTCATTGGGTAACTTTAGGTGAGTGACGTGACATGGATTTTTAGGTTGAAACCTGTAATATTACAACTTAATTTAATTCAAACTCTTTAAGCATACACCAGTTAATCTTTACATTGTAAATGATCTTTTTTGAGGGGGGTCAGGTTCACAGAACGAAGTATAGCATCATATCTGACCTTTGACCTGCTTGTCTGGTGCCAGGAAGTTCCACCCTTCTCAGTCTATTGTCCACTTCAGTGCAGCATCGCCTCAACCTCAGCTCACTGGTGCTCTTTTTCAAATCAATGCTTAGCAAAGAAACGTAAAACCTGGATTTAAGAACACCTTTTACATCACTGTGTGTTTCATCATCACATCACACATGTAGCAATATGTATATCATTGAAGGTGAAGCACGGCAAGGAAATACCAGCACAAAGTTACCATACATAAGCCAAGAATCATCCAGTGTGTGCAGGGACATCAGAATGCACCTCCCTGCCTCTTCCTGCACTGATAACACGGTGAAAGACAGTGGAATGGGCGGTGCAGTGGTGGGCAGGGAGGAAGGTGGTTAGGTGTCAGTTCCTTGACTTTCCTTTCCCCCCCAACCCTTCTAACGGCCTCCATCTGAGGAAGTGGATCCTGCAGAGTGTCTATTCAGCTCCAAGAGACAAGACAAACACTTGAGATGTCAAAGCTTGCATTGTTTCAAAACCTAATTTCTGTTTTACAATGACTGTATCCTTAATAAAAAGAGCTTGCAGTCCTAATTTCATCCTTGGCTGCTTTGTAAATTTGCCAATATTAGTGATCCTCTAAGTCACAGACAACAACAAAGCTATAACAAAACCTGGCTGGCAGGTATGTACTCTTATTTGACCACTACCCCAGGTGCAAGCACGGGCGTCCATTTGGAAGGAACAAAGCAGGGTAGGCTAACCCAGGCAGGAAAGATCTCGTTTTCTGTGCTGTGGCTTTGCAGGAAACCCAACCATTCACCCAGCCATGTACTCCCATCCTGAAATGGGGGAGTGAAATGCTAAGAGCAGAGGGAGGCAGGAGGATGGGGGCACCAAAATAAAAAACTAATAATAATAATGACTTTATTTCCATCTCCAACCCGCAGATGTTTGCTTCCTTCCCTTCCCTTTCATGTTAGATGGAAATCTCTTTTCTTGTATGACTTTGAAGAGAAACATCGTTGTGGGTAATTGTAGATATGAAAGTGTTTGTTTCTTTTTTTTGATTGAGTCATTCCCTGCATTTGTCTTGAAGGCTGATATCTCTCATCTGTGGTGCTCTGGCCAGACTTGAGCCTTTGTCCATGTTTATCATAAGGACAGGAAGATGCAGCTTCGCCTTTGCCACCCCTCCCTACAACATCCTGGGATCTTCTGGAAACTTCCCTAACAAGGATGCCTTTCCATGGTCACTGTGAGGCTCAGTGACCTATGCCTCATCACTACTACGCAAAATGTTAATGTTAAGTGCTGTTCAGATCAGGCACAGTATGATACATTCACAGGTACGTTTTAGATAAGATCTGGTCTTACTGGATGTTAGGAGTGCCTTTTAGTGAAGTGATTCAATCTTGAAGCATCTTCATCATGCAATCACAACAAGCCAAGATATCCACTAGCACAAAGCTATGTGAATAAACATCCAGCTCTGTTGTGAGTGGGCTAAAGATTCTTTGAAACAAAGTCTCAGCGAAGAAACTGGCCATGATGCATCGAGTCCTAAAGTGTTCCAGGAAGCCACAGATAGCATGGTGACACACTTCGACCTTTAGCCCACCATTAATTTAAGCTTCCGTATGTGATTACAGATGTCAGACCCCTGAGACACAATGATTCCTTTCTTTTCTGCTCCCTCTTTGACATTATCTGACACATTTTGTGACTCTCCCAGCTATTGTTCTGAGATGGATAAAAATAATATGTTGTGATGTGGCCAGCGGGTGTTTCCAGTGGAGAGGTCTTGGGTGCACTTGGGTTCAGGGGGTCACGCTGGCTCCCCAAACACAGGAAGGTAGCACTGTAAGTCAGGGGGTGTCAAGGCTGTACACTGTTCCCTCTCAGACCCTCACCTTCAACTCTTTGTCTATTAATAACATGAGCATCACAGTTGACCCATTCACTCTGATGGGTGGGATGAGCAGAGAGAAGCGAGGGCATGTTGGTTCAAAGTTATTGAGTTGACATGAGTTTGGATTTTCAACTGTAAATATACTGTATGTGCTCTAAATATGACTCACAAAGGCTGCAGTTGATATATAAATGATCATGTGTCTCAGACGTTTTGGAACATTTGGGTAGATTTTGTTATGTGTCATTGATTTAACTTTTCCAGAACTATCAGCATTTTAATTTGACCTTAAATATTTAATGTGGGGGAGGTCATTGTGTTAACATAAGTAGGGCTAATCATATGCTCTTTGTAAGTTTGAATTGGAGGCGTGTGCTGTCGCAGTGGGAGCGCGCAGAGGAAGGGAGGGCAATCTTGTCCGGACGCTAATAAGACCCAATGGCTGGTGCAAGGTGGCCAGGAGCTCTGAAACGCGACAGAAGACGGTGGACGGAGGAGAGAAGGAGAAATGAAATCTCAGGAGACACGTTTTCTGGATGGACAAAAAGGGACGAGCGCACCGCCGGAGCGTCCATAGGAACTGCAGCGAGTCGGTCGGGCTGTTTGGCGTGCGTCAGTTTGTGTGTCTCTTCAAAGGAACTGCGTGGAGAGAGAAGCGGTAAGTGACTAGAAAACCCACAAATAAAAAAAAAAACACCTGCGTCAAGGCTGGTACCTGCGAAGGACGTATGAAGATGACTTTCAGTTCACATGAAGCGTAGAAGCTGCTGATAGTTGGCGAAACATTTGGACAGAAACCTTAGACCTTTTTACAACATATCTTCTTATTTTTAATAGCTGATACCAAACTTTAGAAACTTCAGCCAATCAGATAATTCACTGGACTAATAGCTTTTGGTCAGAGCATCAAAACAGTACACACACAGAGTCAGCTGACTTTGCACTGTTAAGCTCTTTTTCTGACCAAGAGTGAATACAGAAAGAAGCCACCACATGTCCCAACAGTTATTTGTCACATCAATATCAGCTCTAACACCACATGATTTGGAATGGACCAAGATTTGACCCTCATTCACATGCAATCACACACCTGGAACTGGGGTACCACTGTAGGCACTGTGAGCCACTGACTCCTTGGAGCCCCAACCCTCCCCAATGAAGCAGTCCTGGTGGGCCCGCCTGGCACAGCTCGGCCTGCTTGCTGTGTGGACCTGTATATGGCTGGTCCAGGGATGCGGACCGGGCCCTGGCGTCGGCATCCGCTCCAGGCACAGGAAACTCACAGCCATGCACTACAAGCAGTTTTTCCCCAACTTCTCAGAAAACAACCTTGGCGCCAGCGGGAGAGCAGAGGGCAAGATCACACGTAACTCTGAGCGCTTCAATGAGCTTGTGTGCAACTACAACCCAGACATTGTCTTCAAGGATGAGGAGAACACCAACGCAGACCGCTTCATGACTAAGGTGAGTTAGTGTGTTGTGTGTTAAGGATTTTCTCAGATGTGTACATGTGTGCATCACTTGTTTCCATTGATCCCAGTGATACCTGGTGACTGTTGTATGGCAAGTGCAATGAAATAGGAATAGGAAACAGAGGAAGCTGCAGGTTCACTGAAGGATGCTCTCACTGGTGTCTCTTGAACCTTTTCAATCCCTCTGCTGGATGACTGATTAACTACATTTACATGAGAGGGCAGACAGCAGTCCGCAGCTCTCCCCCTGCCACCCAGTACGGCACCTTCAAATCCAATCCTGTAACCTCATTCATTGTTTGCCGTACTCTACACTACCTGCCCTTGCCAGGCTCTTAACACTCAAATAAATGTTCAACACAGTGTGTATGATTTAACCAAACTTCCCCTCCCTTTTTCTTGAGATAAGAAGATCAGGATGTAATTCAACACTACTGCGTTCCATTTCAGGAACACTTCCTTTTAATCTTTAACCAAAGTCTTTGTTATTGGAAATAAAACTATTCCTGTGACGGGTTTTCAGTGTGCCTGCCATATCCAGGTATGGCACTTAGGCTTGAATTCCTTAATGTTTACTGGGTATAGGTATCCAAAATCAAATATTGCACCTGGAAAAGACAACTGGTGGAGGATTAAATCCTAGATGATGTAAGATCTGGGCTGGTAGATGGACAACAAACATTTTGAAAGCCACACTGCTGAATATGCCCACAGATTTTCTTGACACTCAGCTGTCACCCTGCTTTGGATGCTGTTGCTTTCTGTGATTGTTTCGGATATGAATCTGTGTTCCTTCCCCTCCCTGAGTGATTGTATGTGATGGAAATCTGCGACCGTATGTGTGTGCCCCTCTTTTGCCCAGATGTGAAAGACACTCTTTGTGCGTCATTTGGAGACTCAGAGGGGTCGCCTATACAAAATTCCCGCCTGCTGAAGTAATGGCACCGTCGGAAAAGCGACTATTGTAGTTCTGACAATGAAACGCCTCTCTTCAATGGCATTGCGAGAAAAATGTACCCAGTTTGTTTTCTGTCCCTCTCGCTTTCTCACTCTTGCTGTCACATTCCCAAGTCCATGCCCATACATTCTTCCCCTCTGCCCTCTCTCTTTAGTCCCAACCTTGGCCCTCCACTACACTGCTTCCTTCTCACCCAACTTCTACCCCCATCATTTTCTCTCACTTTCTTTCCCAACCCTCTTTTTATTTAATTCAGTTGCAAGACAAGATTTATTCAATCAATTATAGGCCACCAGAGCTGCCACATCACAAGTCACATGAGAATATGCATTCAGAAGATAATAATGACTCTATCACCTCAGTTGCTGATGTTGTATTTTTTCCGCCTGCTATTTTGTGACAATGCTGACACAGTCTGTAACATCACAGCTCACGGGGGTGTTAAAAGTCACTGTGCACATTTCTGATCAAATGTCTCAAGGGTGAAAGTGAGAAACTCATATGCCTGGAACAATCTGGAAAGGCAAGAGAATGGCCTTGATTATTCTGTCACCCTGTCGAAAAGGCCAAGGAATGTGCCAAACTGGCTACAGTAGCTTTGTTCTTGTACCCTGATTGTTTGAGCAAGGTTGAGATGGCCTTTAGCAGAGTAGAGGAGGAATTGTGTGTCGATGCCAGCGGACAAACAATCATAACCTGCGAGCCAGAGACAGTTTTAAAATGCTGGAATCATTTTTGGCTTTTCTTTTGTGAGTTTCAGTGAAATCAGTCTGTGCACTGAGGTGTACAGTAGGCTCACATACTGTACATGCCTTAGGTTGTGCCAGTCCCCCTGTTAATAAATGATAATGTGTCACCTGAGTTGAGTTCAGACATGCCTTTCACTGTGCATGGCACATGCTGCAGACAGATTGACTAAAAATAGAATTATTGTCTTTGAAATGAACTAAAAATCAGTTTTTTATATTCTTTTTCAATTTAAGTTTTCAAGCTGTAAACTAGAATATCCAAAGATATTATAAGAAAAGCTCACAGTATAATGCACTAAACGCCCCAATACGCAACATTTCCTCCTTACCCAACATACATTTTAAAAGACAAAATAAACTAAAAGCAGATCACAGTAAAAAAGTAAAAATGAAACATTCAGAATTAGATATAGGAATAATGTTGATACAATTCACACATTTTTCCTCTTATCTTGTATTCCTACACATAAAGGGTGCTATCTTATTGATAATGATTATAAGTTATATTTTGGTGTAGCATTCAACAATTTTAAGCAACAAAAATCATATAGTTAAATATTTAACAATAACTAAAATATGTTCCAATAGTCATGTTTTCCACTGTGTCCAGGGTTAAATGGCTACCTGAATATTTTGTAGCTGTTAGACTATTGGCATAATGAGTTTGAATATTTTACAACTTGGAACCAGATCCAGAATGGAACCAGTTATCTGATCCCGACCCTACACATAACAGCATCTTTCTTTAGGATAATGTTACACAAGAGCCCGACTGATACTGATATTGATATTTGAGTTTTCAAATCTGATAATATATACATTTATAACTATTTATTGACCAGCATATGTGCCAATATATTATAATAATATTGTCCAATATATTGGCTGATTTATACATTTTTACTGCTCCCAACTGAACACTTTTTCTTTGTCTCATTCTGTTCTTAGCGATGTAAGGACTGTTTAAACAGGTTGGCTATTGCAGTGATGAACCAGTGGCCAGGGGTACACTTACGTGTGACAGAGGCCTGGGATGAGGACGGTCACCACCCTCCAGGCTCTCTGCACTATGAAGGCCGGGCCGTGGATATAACCACTGACGACAGAGAGACAGAGAAGTATGGTCTTCTGGCCCAGCTGGCTGTGGAAGCTGGCTTTGACTGGGTCCACTATGAGTCCAAATATCACATCCACTGCTCAGTAAAAGCTGGTAAGTTCACAGGAGATCACGCAGTTAACGATGTCAAATTGCATCACTTGAGTGGATGGTGTATCAGGTTATTTAAGAAAATCTGTGTTTAGTCATGCTTTCTGCTGATCTCCCTTCAGATCACTCTGTTGCAGTGGAAAAAGGTGGCTGTTTCCCCGGCTGGGCCCGGGTGACCGTTGCTGGAGGGGTGCAGAAAACCCTATCGTCCCTGGCTCCTGGGGACCGAGTTATGGCCCTGTCTGGGACAGGCCAAGTTGTGTTCAGCCAAGTCCTCTTGTTTCTGCACCAGGACAACGAAAGCCTGTCTACTTTTCTGTCTCTGGAGACAGAGGATGGCCATAGATTGGCCCTTACTCCACATCACTTGGTCTTTTTAGCCCCCCATTGCAGACTCGACAGCAGCGAGTATCAGTTTGCCAGCAGAGCCAAAACAGGAGACTGTGTTCTCATCCATACAGCAGAGGGTCGAGTACGTCTGTCTCAAATCGTCTCGGTTTCAGTAGAGGAGAGTGTGGGAGTGTATGCGCCCTTGACGGAAGCTGGAACTGTGTTTGTTGATGGGGTGCTGGCATCCAGCTATGCACTGGTGGAGGACCACAGACTTGCACACTGGGCCTTTGGACCTGTGCGACTCCTCTTCTCATTCAACCAGCTGCTTTGGGGGGAGACAACAAAAGAAGAGCAGACCACAGACAACAAAACATCTAAGATAACTAAGACTTCACAACATTGTAGCACTTTGGCCACAAAGGACAAAGCAGGTGTATGTGTTAATAATGGCAATCTGAACAAGCGAGACAATCTGAGTGAACCTCTGAGGATGGAAATGAAAGAGAAGCACTCCTGGCGAAGGCAGACATCAGATGTGCACTGGTATGCTAAACTACTGTACAGTTTTGGATGCATCTTTTTAGACTCCAACTCATTTCATCCTTAAAAGCCTTAAACTATAGACTCCATACATGTCTTACTGTTAAATGTCATAACTTTGAAACTTTTAAACTAACACTTCCTGTTCTTTTCTCCAATAAATTAGAAGCACTGGAATGGCTTGCTTGCTTTTTTCCACCATTGTTTGCATTATAATCTATCGTAATAATATACATTCTAATACTTTACTGATGTTATAAAAGTTTGAGTTTGATTAAACATATTGTCTGAGCAGGTTGATGTAAAATGGTCATGCCAAAATGACTGTATCATAGTGTATTTGTACATCATGTTATTTCTTTTAATTATTTCAGTTATATATGTAATATATATATATATATTCTTAATGGGATAGGACTGAATTTTCCCACAACAGAATCTTTATTTTTGTACTATCTGAATCATAATATATACATGTTTAATTGTATTATAATAATTCCACTACATGTATTTCTTTACTTATTGTCGTGTCATAAAACAAATTAAAATGTCATTTTATTAAGCAACACTCTGCTTTTTCTTCAGCTGTGGAGTAAATTTTGTCTGTTAAGCTGATTTGCCTTTTGCTTGTTTAGCAAAACTGAGTTGCTTTTGTGTGAGAAACCTGAGACATATGCAAAAGATCATTTCTCGGGTCATAGTTGAGCATTATGTATGTTACAGTGTCCAAGACCTCTGTGGAAATCTAGTCTAACAGGCTGACTGGTTAATGAAAAGCCCAGACGTACTTAATATTCCCCACACTGTGCCAGCACCTTGACTTTATCAGTCACAGACTTTTATCACATGGCTACTCCAAAGCAGTTATCAGGTTTCCTACAATCTTAGAGGAGACAGTTTCATTAGTAACCACTGATCAATTTGGGTCACAAGTACTATATCTGTTAGATATTTAGCACAGTTCATGGCTGACACAACTTTCTAATGTTTCTATCTCATCTAGGCTATGTCTACAGTTACTAGTAAACGTTTACTTTAATTATTTTACATGTAAAACTACTTTTCAAAGGTTCATAATAATGTGTAAGGCAAGATTCAAGATATGTTCACAAGGTTATACACCCCCTTGTGGAGGAACTGATATTCTGCCTGTGAGTTTTACATTCTTTAATGTATTTGTACTTTTAATAACTACTATATAATAAACTGTAATTTAATAAACCTTGAATGGATTTTTAATACTTACTTATAGTTTATTGGTAAAAGAAAAATATTTATACTTTGCTATCAGAACTATGGATTCAAAACAGATAAAATATTAAGAAAACAAACCATGAATTGCATCCTATAAAAGTAGCCTACACTGTTTTTTTTCTAGCGCTCTTGATTGTAACTGTATTAAAGTGCACACTGAGACCCAAAAACTGTATTCTCTTCTTCCGGTTTCTGCTCTGTAAACATCTGTGGAGGTATTTCTAGGGGATTATCCTTGAGATGCAGGAGGCAGATGGGAAAGCACCCGCTCCATTGACTGGCCAATAGGAAAAGTCTGGTGTCCTAATACCACCCTCTATTTACACCCATCAGCCAATCAGTTACTCTCTTCCAGTCAGTCCCCCCCCCCCCCCAACAAATAAAATCTAATCCAATCTTGCTAAAGCTGAATGGGGAGTTAACTAATCCTGTCAGAGGGACCAGTAATAACCTATTTTCAAAATGAGAACCTGCACACCCCACGTTCAGGCATTAAATTCAGGCATTTCCTGACCAAAATATACTTGTATGTACTTCTGTTTGTAAAATACAGAACAGCGTCATCAGGCTTGAACAACAACAAAAACATTTCAATGACAATAATAAATGAAACATGAAGGAGAAAGATGCATCAGTGAATAACTGTCCTCACAGGTCTTTTTTTTTTTTTGTATTGCAGAAAATAGAGTTTACGACTCCATTTGTGATTTAAACCAGGCTGATGTTTCAGTCAATCTAGTGAAAACTATCAAAAACCATAAATATGAATATATTCTTATAACAACTTACAGGGTACTGTTGAGTTTTATCACAATCAAAACATCTTCTACATCTTTTTAGTTAGTTGCATGGTTGCCAACTGCACAAGAATTCCAGCAATTGTAATGGTTCTGTCTCATCTGAGCCCCGGGGTCCAAATTCTGCACATAGATGCCTCTGCACATTATGCATTAGCACAGACAGTGAAGCCCCCCCCCCATTCAGCAGGTGGTTGCACACTGCTTAGGTAGCACACAATGTATTGTATCTTCTTGATGAGCTGTCAGGCATTTGTGAGTGATCACTAACATTACCTTTATATTAGAGACATTTAGCAGATGCTCTTCTCTACAGTTACTTGTAAGTGTTGAGTTATTTCCCCAGTATAGATATTTAGCTGTAACATTTCAGTGTTTTCCTCTAGGGCATGACAGGAGATATACAGTAGCCGATGTGGCTGAAACCTGTGACCTTCTCATAATGGGACAGACTGTTACCCAATCTAATTTTCTCTAAGTTCACAGGATCATTTCAATGACATATAAGCTTCACTGTGTTTATTGCCTCGGGCTTATTGTTCACATTGTGGCCCCTGAAAGATCCTACTACAAGATCCTCTTGTACATATACAAGAGGATTTGCCAGAGCTGACAGTGAACAGTTTAGTAGTCTACAGAAGAAAGGATTTTTTTCCCACCAGAATTCGTTTTGGGCTGTTCACACTTCTTGAAATAAAAAAATATATATATATATATATACATTTTACTTTACTTCTCTGTCTGTGTGTCAAAGTTGCTATACACGAGGTATGAAGATCTTAACATGCCATTGCTGGGTATTAGTTTAACTCAAAAGTAACAATTTAAGGAATTGAGCAGTTCTCCTAACAACTTTTGTTGGACCCATCCTCCCTGGTTCCCTAATGCCACTGTTATTTTCTCACAGTGATAAGGCAACCTAATGATAGAGACCCAGCTCCTAATCCCACCCCCCTACAGGAGACCTGTTCGGTAACATTATGATTGATCCCTGACTTTAGTTCAGATCAGATTTTAACATGAAATACATGAACAAGTAATTATTAGTAAATCTGCTGTTTCAGTGTCAGTGAGTCTTCTTCTCTGCTGGAGGGCTGAACGTGTTTCCAGCCTTTTAAACACAATATAGTATTATTTAGGGTCTATACAATTACTTTATTTGCATTACTCGTTTCCATGTCGCTTGATAATGTACAAATACTACCAACGTGGATGGTAATTACATGCCTGGGTAATAAGACAAAACAACGAAGCCCCACATTGTCACAATAAAGTGTACACAATAAACATCTCAAAATAAGCAGCATACGGTGTACTGGCTTATTTCGGTTATAGTTATCATCAGTGAACCTGCTGAAACCTTGGTGAAGGGTAATTTCAGATCATGGCAGATTGAAGTCGATTACTCTTCCCAATCGGTCTCAGTCACGCCGGCCAAATGCGCATTTCATATCAGAAAGAAACAGGCGAAATACATATTTATGTTAATTACAAAATGAATTTAAAGAGAGATTTGTAAGATAATTATTAATATAAGCCAACTCTGTTATGCGTCGCGGCTGATCGTTAATAAAAACAAATGCATTCATCGGCAGGCACGACAAAGTAGCTTTGGTCGTACAATCATAACAATCTAATGAAAAATGGCTTCCCTAGATCCGAAAATCTAATGACCTAATATCTGATATCTACCATATTCCTGCGGTCCGCGCTCTCCACATTAAAATCTCGTGCTGTGTCGTAAATTAACAAACCTCGCACAAAGCTGTTCACTGTTGCACTAAAGCCCGGGGCCAGTTTTTTTTTTTTTTTTACTGATATCCACTAATAAAACAATCTTTCCGCTCGTTATTTCGCATGAATTAAATTTGTTTTGACGTAGTTGTTATTAGCTCGCACTGTTAGCAGCGGCTAGCCACTCGGCGGAACAGCCGTGTGTTAGACGCGACGCAGTTCGGCGAAGTGAAGAGATGCTAGTGACCCACACAAGGGTACCCAATGCAAAGTTGAGCTGCAGAATCTAGGTAGACGAATGTCTGCAGTCGACTAAAACTTCAAAGGAAAAAAAAATATATATATGTACAGTCGTGTCAACAAAGTTTGGGGCTGTCACTGTCGGGTGCAACTGTTTGGTGCAAACTTGCAGCAGCTTTAACGACCTCGCGAGCGAGATTCCAGAGCAGAGCCGAGGCTAACTGCTATCAGCTTATTAGCATTCGAGCTAAATCAACAAGCCGGATAGGTAGTGTTTGGATTCGGCGTGCGGAGCAGGGGAGCCTTTCTCGGGACTGGTTGAAGACTCGTCTCGGTGCTCGGTAGTTCCCCGGCAGTACGCGAGCACTCGACACAAAGCTCAAGTTGCTGGGGAGCTAGCTGGTCGGCTAGCAGCGCCGCACAGCCTGCCTGCCTTCCGCCGTCGTGCACTTCCCCCACTCTGCCTCCAGCCGGCTAGCTGCAGCGGTAGTCCGGTACATAAAATGAAGCGACCATCAGCGTTTTGGGAAGCTGTGTGGCTGTTTGGATTTTGCTGATGTATGAGGAGACGATATTGTTTTTGTGAGGTGAGCAGTTTTGATTATGGCCTCTTTGAACTTCTTGCAACAGACGAACCTAAAGACACACCAACCCTGACCTTAGACCGGGTAATGGTAGCTCTGCTATCGGTAACATTTAGCCGTTAGCTTCGACCAGATGGGGCGGTCTACTTGCTGGAGTGGCGGCTATGTTACCTGGGCGCTAACTTTATGTTGATATATGTTCTGCGTTGGCGGTTCCCAGGCTTTGATCCATAGAGTACCCGGTTGATAATTGTAGAAGTATATGTGCCAGTGCATGAGATTGGATATATTTCTCGTAGTTTTGCCTCTTCTGGACACTTTGCTGCTACGTCACCGTTGGTAGTTGTTAGCTTTTCCGTATCAGCCCGTCGCTAGTGACATGGACATGACTATGTGCTGGACAGAACCAACCCTTTGAAGTCGGTGTTTACATTGAGGAATAGTGCTTAGCTCTGCAGTTATTCAACTATAAAATCTCAATCGCTTTTTACCGTGGCACCGCGACAAACAACAACAGCTGCTGTCGGCCAACCGAACAAAATAAAAAATAAAAAAACAACAAAACGCGTTCACCGTGAAAGTTAATTTGTAGCGTTAACACTTTACATGTTAACTTAGCTAGCCAGGATGTTAAGACGTTAACTTAGCCATCATGTCATCACTTTTGCTCTGGACACAAGCAACTTAATTTGAGAGACAAAGCCCCATTTAATACCCTCATTAGCTGTGCTGTAACACCGGTGAGGTTTTGTGGGACTTGTATTTGACGTTAGTTTGTTGTTCAGCGCGTTTCCAGTGTTGCTGCCGCCGAGTACGTTTATTACGAAGATGTAACGTCAAATTAATTCTGTCCATCAGCTCAAATGCTTTCTGCCATTTACAGCTTGTTGTGCCTTTACCTAAGCGGCGGTATACAGTGCCATGTACTCTGTGGGTTAGGTTAGTAGTGCCGGTATGTTGAATTGTATTTTTGGGAGTTTCGGCTAAAGAACAAACATTAAAGAAAACAACCGCCCTAAATAAATTCGACAAAGCTGCATATATACATCGGCGGTGGTTTGGTGTTATAATGCATTACAGTCTGCTCTTTAGTTGTGATGAATGAAATCTGCTCCCCATGCTTAATAAACACGAGAAAAGGAGCACTCGTTCTCGGTCTGGGGATCTGCCTCCGCGAACAGGGAACATTTTCTAAATGTGTAGGATCTCGTTAGCTCACAGTATGCTTCTCGAAGTGTGATAGCACACTGGGTTTTGTTTTGTAACAGACGAAAATACTGCGATACACTCAGCTGGATCTGGATTTGTAAGTCGCTGTCGCATGTATTGTGTTTAAAGCCCATTGGATCAGAGCATAACACAGCGCAGCACGGCCGATTCTCCCGGGTATTTGTGTTGTAACATACACGATGATGTGAACACATATTGGTGAGGCAGTTATATACCATAGGTTGAAGAAAAAAAATAAAAAATAAAAAAACACACCAAGCGAAGCCGATCGGCCCCTTTTTAAAGTATTATCTGTTCATGGCATTATTAAACAATAATCACGATATGACTTCCTGTTATTAGCTGTGCGGATGAAAACACGGTGAGCCCGTCCAGTGCTGCATTGTTTTGTTTTACAGTATTTTTTTTATTTTTATTTTTGTTAATGGCGAGAATCTCGTAGCGGAACTATGATGTGATCGACAAAGGTTCTGCACGAAAGGAGTCCCGCTGCAACAGGAAGTTCTACACACGGAAGTTGTGTTTTCTTTGTGTATCCCGATTTATGGTTGTTTAATTTAGGAAAACACCATTTTAGTTTTAACATTTAGCGCTTTTTGACGCTGCAGTTTGACCGATTTGGATTATGCATTGCGGGGTAAATGATAAGTTGAATTGTTAAAGCGGTTTCCGATTGATCTGTCTCCTGTAAACCATCGCGCTATTTTCATGAGTTTGCGTGTAAGCTCGATTGCATTAGTGCTAACGTTGGTCAGATTGAACACAAGGAAATCATCTTAACTACACGTTAACAGCCTTATTTAATTTGTTATGGTGTTGGTTGTGAGTCTTAATGTAAGAAGTGCTTTTGGATGTGTAGGGAGACTAGTGTGTGGCAAGGAAAGATGCATTTTAGGGATATCCTTTTTTTAAATGATTATAAACATGTTGACTAGTGAACAAGGGCATTTTCTATTTTAGTAACTGGAAACGTGCATTTGACTTTGATGTTAATTTTTAATGGGAAAACCCTAAATCTCATACATTTAGTATTTTTTTTACATATCTTTTCAGATCTACTCTCTCTCTTTACGCCACGATAACAGACCAAATGTTTATGGTACAGCCAGTTATCAGATAAGATACCCAGACACTGTTTACATACTGTGAATAATTTAGTTAAACCTTTCTACTTCTGATTGACATTTACAAGCTGATTCTACTTGTGTTTTTAAAATGCAGATCTCTGTCAAGGAGGTCAAAATCAGTACAGGGGATGGACGAGCAGAAATCGAACTGCGAAGAGAATGACTCTGAACCAACAGGTAATGTGTTGTTTTTAAAAAATGTCCACCTGTCCCAACCTCATCCACTATAAATGTACACTGTTCTACAGGAAGACGAGTAATATCACAGTGTGACTTTGCTCTGAAAGAGAAATGGACATGGTTACACATAACAAACACATTTTGAATTTCCACAATAGAGATCGATTAATGTAATTTATTTGAGGTGCTGACAGTGAGGCGATCACATTAAAAGTTTTTGTTTCCTCATAGCAGATAAGTTAATATAGGTTTGGGAAAAGCCATTTGTGCCCATTATTTTGTGCAATGTTTGCCTTAAAAAGATTATTTTCTTCTTTTTGTGTTCTAGCTGATGACAATGCCCCTTCAAAGCAGCTTGTCTCCTCTGAGGAGGAGTCTAAAGCCCTTCCTGCTGCTGAGGATGTGTCTGGTGCTACTGCAGCCTCTTCCAGCACACCTGTGTACGTTTTTCATTCATTCAGATCGGATTTTGTTGTGGTCTTTATCCCAAGGAGCTGCTTATGCAACATCAAAACATTTGTTGTTTTTTTAACAATTTTGTTTGTGTCTGTACAGAGAGAGCGTTCGAGCCTGTGCCCTTTGTAACTGTGTGGAGCGGAGCCTGCATGGACAGCGGGAACTGAGACACTTTGGGTCATCTTCTGAGCGGCCCACCCTCAAGCCATCAGCTTCTCCACTGCCTCAGCCCGGGAATGATGACCTGTCTTCCATTGGATTTTCCGACTCTCCCTGTCTGGCGGCACTCTTTGACGACTCAGGTTGAACTTAAAACATTATACTGTTATATACCATTAGTGTAAAAAAAAATGTTTTATTTATAAATTAATATTATAGGTTTCATCTAGTAGATAAATAGCACACATAGGGCTAGACGATATGACCAAAATTTCAAGCAAGGTGAGCAGATTAAAGTAGTTTGTGAATAAATTCTGGGCAAATGCCTGTTTTGCATTGCATCTCTGCCTCATCAACCTCTTCAGAGCGCATTTTTTTCTCATGTGAACTCTGGAAGAGTGTGATTTGTGATACATTAATAGAAACGATAGAGCAAAATATGAAACTATAGATGTTTTTCTGTCGTCAAATGAAATATATTGTCATATGTAGTTGGAAATGTTACTGATGTTGGGCTTTTACAATGAACAGGGGGTTGTTGGGTGCATCACTGGTGTGCGGTGTGGTCGGAGGGAGTGAAGCGCATGGAGAATGAGGAGCTGGAGAACGTGGATAAGGCCGTTATCTCAGGGACGCAGCGGGTAAGTGCACTGTCCGTAGACTTGAATTTGATGGTATTTGGTGGGAATATAGGGATTAACGGAGTCTTCCTTCACAAAATCTTACTTGTTACCATTGCTTTGTTTCAGCTTTGCGAATACTGCAAAAGGCTAGGTGCAACCATTCAATGCCATGCTGAGGGCTGCTCACGGTTCTACCACTTCCCCTGCTCGGCAGCCAGTGGATCCTTCCAGTCTATGAAGCAGTTGGTCCTCCTCTGTCCAGAGCACATAGACAAGGCAGAGGAATTGGGTAAGAGAACCAGACATCTTTGTCAAAATTGTGATGTCATTACTTAGGCCAAATGCTCACAGTAAAGACTTTAGACTGTCTTTAGTCCGAGGCCAAAGCTGTAACGCTTTCTCATAATTCCTGTAAGACAACTGGTGTGCTCCATACTGATTTTGGCCTTATCAGTTGTAGACTGCCATTCTACCAAAGCTAACATTTTCTGCTCTTTGTCATAAAATATCATTTTTGCATCACTATTTTTATTTTCACTGAAAAATCGGAAAAAAATTTGTTTGAGTCCGTACCAAACAAATGTGTTTTCTTCAGAACTCTAGTACTTCATTATAAAGCTGTTTTGTCACACATTTTACCCTTTAGAATTGAAGACATTTTGCCATATTACAATTTTGATTAATTGTACAACCCTAATTTCTGTGTATATTTTTTTATTTATTTTTTTACAGCAGGTGAGGAGGCTTGGTGTGCAGTGTGTGACTCAGCGGGGGAGCTCACAGACTTGCTGTTCTGTACGGGTTGTGGCCTACATTATCATGCGGCATGTTTGGAGATTGGTGCCACGCCCATCCAGCGGGCAGGATGGCAGTGCCCAGAGTGTAAAGTGTGCCAGACTTGCAGGTGAGACCAATTT